CCTGAAAGTCTTCATGGCTCATAGTGGACCTCAAGGAGGGGTGGAAGAACCTCAACAGTGCTCCTGACGGGCCCGGGCAGTCGCCTGGTTTGCGTGTCCTTGACGGGGTCCCGGGCAGTCACCTGGTTTGCGTGTCCTGACGGGCCCGGCCAGTCACCTGGTTTGCGTGTCCTGACGGGGCCCCGAGCAGTCACCTGGTTTGTGTGCCCTGACGGGGCCTGAGCAGTCGCCTGGTTTGTGTGTCCTGACGGGGCCCAGGCAGTCGCCTGGTTTGCGTGTCCTGATGGGCCCCAGGCAGTCGCCTGGTTTGTGTGTCCNGTTTGTGTGTCCTGACGGGGCCCAGGCAGTCGCCTGGTTTGCGTGTCCTGATGGGCCCCAGGCAGTCGCCTGGTTTGTGTGTCCTGACGGGGCCCCGGGCAATCGCCTGGTTTGCGTGTCCTGATGGGCCCTGTGCAGTCGACTGGTTTGTGTGTCCTGACGGGGTCCCGGACAGTCACCTGGTTTGCGTGTCCTGATGGGCCCCGGGCAGTCGCCCAGTTTGCGTGTCCCGACAGGGCCCCGGGCAGTCGCCCGGTTTGCGTGTCCTGACGGGGCCTGGGCAGTCGCCTGGTTTGCGTGTCCTGACGGGGTCCTGGGCAGTCGCCTGGTTTGCGTGTCCTGATGGCGCCTCTGTTTGCACCGCTGTGTGTCAGACTACAAATGCTCTACATTCTCTGCTGCCTGTACAAAGCGGCTGAACCTCTTTGCATCGTCTCTCTCCACTACATCCTGGTTACTGTGACTCCTCACAATGGCGACAATTTGCAGCGTGGTTGCTGATTTTGGGATGTGAATGGTACATCTGTCCTGGGAAGTGCCAGGAAGTGCTGCACAAAGGCCTGGTTTTGTCACAGATAGTCCTTCTCTCAGTAGCCGTCTCCATACAACTGCAGCCAGAGCAGTCTGCTGGCAGAGGGACGACACAATTGCAGCACCGGAGCTGTCAGTCAAAGCTCCAGGGAAGCAGAACCAAAGGAAGGTCTCATGTGGCCTGCAATTTTCTTGAGGCCATTAAACCCACCCTTTTTAATTCCTTTTCTACCACTCACGCTATTCTCACTGTAAAGTGGTCTTTCAGCGCTCGGCTTCCCATCCAGAGCTGAAAGACAGGGATGTGAAAGCACTTTGCAGAACAATGCTGAACACATCTGCTAATTTCTCAGGCTAAAAGGGAATGAAATGGAGGACATGCTCATTCAGCCGGAGCTGTGTGAAGATTCTCAGCCAATATAATGTAATTTGATTTCTATTCTTCCTGCAAAGACTCAACGCATCACTTCTTACACAACTCAGTATCAGTCGGCTAATGAAATGCTGAAATAAAACATGTTTATTTGTTCGTTCTGAATTAACGGATGACTCTGGTTTGTTAAGTGGCGTTACGGTGTGTGTTCACAGAAGCAGAAGGAGGAGGCCAGGGTGGGTGGACGCATCAGGACATGATGACAGGCTGTTGTTGGTTCTGTAGTTTAGTTAGTTAGTTAGTAGGTCTCTTAATGAACCACATGCTGTTCTTTAACAACGCTGCTGCTTGTAACCAAAACTACAATGTTTGGTTTGAAGGTGGAGTCAGTGATTATGGAGGTTGTTGATCATTATCTGGTTATCATATTTATTGACATGATTTCTGTATGACTGATGTGGACGCTGAGAGCTCTGTTTACTCTGCAGCAGGAAGCCCACCCATCAGGCTGCATTGCTCCTCATATCAACATCCCAACAACACACACATGGTTCCTGAGGATATTTCTGATATTCCTCTGATACAGCAGCTGCTTACAGGCTGGGCTGCAGCGTTTTGTCAGTGTGATTATTCCTGAGGTGGACAGAACATCAGGAGGAATTAAAACTTCTTATTGTGGCTGCGTTGATGGGAAACCTGAACAAATCAAAGCACTTCAGTCCTTCAATTACAGCTCTTTCCATGATGAGTTATAAAGCTGTGGATGACTGAGAAGCTCCTGGTCCAGTCTCTCCTCACAGCGTTTGTTTTCCTGGAGCCTATAGGTCACACCTCTGGAGCTGCTCAGGACGTCTGCATGGACCTACACGGGTCTGGATGGATGATGAGGTGTATGTCTGGTGTACTCGTGCATGCACACAGACACGGAAGGCATCAGTTGGCCTTTAGTATGTGCCAGATTTACCATTTGTCCCACCACCCTGCCCTCCATCCTCAGCCTGTAGTCTGCATGACAATGAGCCAGACACACCAGAACACTGCTGAGAAGATCAGTTGGAGCTCTCAGTCTGTTTCCCCTTTATAGAGCAACACTGCACTGGTGTTCAGCTCACAGACAGAACAGAAACTAGTAGACAAGATATTCCATAAATATGGTCACAGCATATGGGATCAGTAGCACTGACGCTACCTTAAACCTGACTAACTAAGCCTGACTAACTAAACCTGGCTAACTAAGCCTGACTAACTAGTACTTGCACCAGTGACCCCATGAAGCTACACCATACAGACCCTGGTCCCGCTCACGGTGAATGTGGGGAAGGATGAGTTATTATCTGATTATGTCACCTATCTCCACATCATTTCTACATCTGAGCTCTTGAATGTGCCTCCATCGTTGTATTGAGGGCGTCTGCACCGCTCTGCTCCTATAAAGTCTGCCTGTGTGTAATTATAGACAAACTGCTCCTATCCAAAGTCTGGGCTCTTCTTCCATTCATCCATGCTGACCCGATGGACTGGTGGTGTCTCTCTGAGCGTAGACATTACTCTCATTATGGCTCCTGTTGAAGCAGCGGCCAGGTGAAGCTCCTGCCATTCACAGGAGAACAATGAACCCTCATTCAGTCACCTGGATCTTTTCCTCTTTTCATCTTCGTACAAAGTCAGAACCGTTTGGGCCTGCTGTAATCTTCATACAGTCCACAGAGCGTGGCTAGATGTTCACCATGCAGCGCTCCATCTGCTGTGTTTCCCCATCACTCAGTCCAGCTTTTCTCTCACTTTGTTGTTCATCTGATCCTCCACGTAGCTTCCTTTCATTCAGGAGTATTTGTGGGTTCCGACCCAGTACAACCAGAGGATCGTATTCCTGTGTGAAGCATACCCGCTGCAGACTACAGGAGAGCTACGAGCTGTGCTGGAGTCGCTCTCATGAAATAAACACAAATGGGGCTGTTGGTTCAAAGCAGTTTTTGAACTTTGTGTTGCTGATGCTAGAGCGGCTGTCTGAACCTGATCCAAAGCTCTCTGACACAACAGATCAGACAAATGACTGGCAGGAAGTATTATAAGAACTGTTCCAGGGAGCTGCTCATAATCATTAAACCAAAAACATGGCAGGTGAGAGGAACAAGGAGAGCAGGGCATCACTCAGCAGCTGTCAGATATAAACTCTCCGATTACACACTGGGACCCCATGTGGTCCGAGCTGAACGACTGTTTATGTGATCTAGGTTTACTGTTTGGGTTGACCGGTACCGAAAGGCTGCTGCATCAGAACTCTACAAATGGACTTTTTACTGACCTTATACCTGCAAACCGCTGCTACCAGTTCAGTCTGGGGTTTGTAACGCCAGGACCGTTCTACTGGTAGCTGAACACCTCATACGGCAGCTTCGCCACCATGGCTGTGTGTGGACGGCTGAATAGAAACACATCTTGACATGTGAATGCTTTCTTACATGGACACTGAAAAGAGGCTTGTACACTGACCTTGCCAAAGACAGAACTGAGACGTGTAACCATGGTGAATGTAGACAACAACAACGATGGGAACAGATGCTCACAGTTCCAACAGAAACATGACGACACTGTTTTTAGGTTTTCTTGACTGTAACTGAACTGAATGAGCAACGAGGTCATTAAATCTGATGTCCTGCTTCTAAATATCACCAGATGATGCATACATGACCAGAGAGAACAAACACCTCTAGCGCTGTGCCCTCACCAACATACAGGTAATGTAGACTGAATAAATAACTTGTTAAACTCCTGAAATGCAGCTTACCTTTTATTCCCCTCTCTCCCTCTCCACATAAGTGTTCCGTACTCAATTTCCAGCTTCAGTGAGAATGAAGAAAGATAGGGGGAGAAAATTGGAAGTTTGGTTTAAAATGCAGACAGCCCTGGCTTTCTGCTTGACGGCCTGTGACATCTCCCCGCACCACACTTTGCATGGCAGAATAGGAGCTTGTAATAGAATTTCCCCCACCGAGGAGGTTAATTACATTCTTTCTCTCCCCCGTCCCTCCACCCTCACTGCAAAATAAAATAAAATAAAATGCACCACATCGCCTGTAAGCTTCTGTGACAGCTGTAAATCCCCGTCGCCATCTTACCTTTAAGATTTAATTCCAGGTGAACGTCTGCCTTCCTCTACAGCGAGGCCCTCGGGGATCTGAGGGCCTTCAGCCACATGACTGACATGACAGCTCAAAGAGGAGACGAGTGAAGGCAAAACAGGCCGACTGTCACTGGTCCATGAAGAGAGGTCATAATAGAACGGCACTAAAAGGCTTTTCCAGTGTTTGCACCACAGAAAGGCTGACAGTGGAGGATCTCAGGAAGCACATTAACGTGACTGTTGTTCTACTGTCACCACCTGTCATTGTATTAAAGAAGCAGAGGAGAGACAATGCCAGCTCATGAGGTTCACAAGTCTTTAGACCAACTCCTAACGTCAGTCTGGTGGTAGCATTAGGCTAACCATCATTGGCTTTAGCACAGGGATCTCCAGCTCCGGTCCTCGTGAGCTGCTGTCCTACAGGTTTCAGACATTACTGCAGCACACCTGACTCACATTAATGGATCATCAACATGTAACACTTCTGGAGTAGTTACAGTATACTAGGACCAATGTTAGGTTCGACTACTAGAGCAGTGATTGATGTAAGGTGCATTAATAACCACAGACCAGAAAATAAGTTTAAATTGCCGACTTGTTATTCTTAGTTGAAAGACAGAAAAAGACAGTTGACATACAGTTGACATGAAATGTTCANAATTTAGCGAAAAGCTCATCGCCATCTTCCACTGTGCCGAAAGCTGAATTAAGCAATTCAAGGTAAGCTGGTGGCAAGGCTTGAGGGCCTAAAGGTTTCACCACATTTGCAGCAGGTGGCACAAGGCTGTCTAAGATCCTTCGCGAGCGTTGCAAGTCAGACAGATCTGGGTCTTGAAGAATGAGCTCAACACTGTGGCGCCAGGAATCAAAATCAACCTCATGACTAGGACAAGGTAGTTTGCCTGAAAACTGTCTTAGACGGAAAGAAGCACTGACTTGTGAGACAGGAGCTTCACTTCGGACTATATGCTCTACAACAACCTTTTGCACCTCAGGGTGAGTTATAAAGCTGTTTGGTATGTTAGATGGTGGATCAGGTTGTGGTTGGTTGATTGGTTCAGAAGCACTGATGCTTACATTAGTTGCAATCGGTTCCACAGTTTCACTTTGGAAGGGTCGGTGATTTGTGTGTGTTGGTCTAGCGACTGGAGTTGTGGGTTCACTTTGTGTCTCTTGGGTAGAAACCACAATTTCAGGTGGCTCTGGGCTGCTTGTAACTGATTGAGCGCATTCAGAAAGGTGCTCGTGCAGAACAGCTTCAAAAGATTTGCCACTTAGTTTGGCGATTTTCCGCAGTTCACTGAAAAAACTGTGGGTGGCGCTGTTCGTAACAGCTGATACGTACTCAGTCGACAGGGCTCTTATTTCGTAAGTGACTTCATTCAGACTCTCAAATGTGTAGGGCAGTAAGGGTTCAAGTGCTGTCAAGGCAGCTCCACTCTCATACTCCACAATGGCATTTTTGTGGTAGGGAGACTGGGGATCATCTATTTTAAAGATTCTCGCAGTTCGCCCATATTTGTTCAGGAAGTCAGTTAAATCTTCATCGACGGCTGTGTCAGTAATCCCACTAATGATAACTGAGTTTGGAACTTTAACATTTTCTCTGTCAACTATGTCCATTTTGCCGGGCTTGGCCTATTTTAAAGGTCTGGGTCAAAAATAAAGGTTGAGGGTTCAATTACTGCTCCTGGCTGGCTCGCCACTTCTGTAACACTTCTGGAGTAGTTACAGTATACTAGGACCAATGTTAGGTTCGACTACTAGAGCAGTGATTGATGTAAGGTGCATTAATAACCACAGACCAGAAAATAAGTTTAAATTGCCGACTTGTTATTCTTAGTTGAAAGACAGAAAAAGACAGTTGACATACAGTTGACATGAAATGTTCAATATCACTTTAAAAAAAAAAAGAAATATTCTTCCCTTTTGTTCAAGTGATTTAGTTTATCAATCCCCTTTTTTAGATTTAAACCTATTATTTGGCTTTAAAAGGATATTACTTTCAACCTAGGTTATTGTTTGTATTAATTTCAAGTTTTATCCTTCAATCTATTTGAGTTAACTCCGCTTTATTCTGAATAAAGTCTAGTTCTTTAGTTTCAAGGTCTAGTTCAAGTTTAGTTAAGTTCCCTTTTAAGTTTCAACCATTCTTTGTTTTGTTGTTTGTACCAAACAAAAACATTTACATTTCAAGTAATACCATTCCCGCATTAACATATATAGTTCACAAAACAACAGTGAAAAAAAATGCACAAAACTCAAAAATATTCAGCTAAAGACTGAATAACTTGCATATCACAAATAAATGTCTCTATTCCCTTAATTGTCAATCCTTTGATTGTCCTGAATGGTTAATCCGGTGTCTCTGAGTCCACTGCAGTTTTGCAGAGAGATATGGATCAATCCTACCAGTTTTCTGATGAAATCCAGCAGAGGGCGCTTTGTTCTGTGTGAGGCGCAGTTCAAGGGGTCCTTGGGTGGCTCGCCATCTTGTATCTCGCACGTGGAATCCAACTCCGGTATTCGCTCAGAATTTCCGGTCCAAACCTTAATGGCCAATCCTGTTCGGCAATGTACAAAACGTCACCAAGGCACAGACAGGTTGGAAAAACAAAAATAACTCCTTCAGTGTACAAGAATAACTTTAAATAGACTCTTTACTCGGTTTTTCTCTCTTTTCCTCTGTTTCAAGCAGCAGCTCTGCAAAGACCGTCTGCGTATATCCCTCGTCCAGAAGCAGGAAAAGACAAAACAACCCGGTTGGCTGTGGCTAGTCACATGAGTCACGCTGCAACGTGACTCTTCAAAATAAGAGTCTAAACACATTTTTAAGCTATCTTGAATAAAAATAAAACAACAACATGAATTTACAAGTTCTTAACCCTTTAACATGTTTTTAACCCTAAATTAAATATTATATCATGAAATATAGCATTGCTGACAATTTTAATGATTTTTTAACCATGTTAATCTATTTATTGTCTATTTATCACTTGTAATATATTTCTTATTGGCTGTTTTTATTAACAGGCTTTGATTTAATGAGGGCTTTGTAAACCAGGGTTACAAACAGACTTGTGTAGAACTTGACAACAAGCTGCTGGAGATCCATTAAGGTCTAAAACCTGCAGGACAGCAGCTCAGGAGGTCCCTGTAGCTAGCATTAGCCTCAGTCACAGCTCAGCTCTTCAAAGGCTGGATGAAGTGTTGCTGCGTCTTCATCTACGATTTCTACATCTGTTTTTTTGGCTGTTTCTACATTTTTAGCTAAATGTGGTGATCTAACACAACAACAGTTTATCTAAGCTTTGTGGTTTCATTTGACTTCTTTCTGACTTCTTGGTCAAACTACCCAAAGAAAAGCACATTTATCATTTATTCTAATGCCATCAAGATAAAGTAACTGAGTTCATACAAACTTGTGAATGTATGTTTCTCATCACATTGGGGTTGCTTGTTTGTTTGTTTGTTTCCTCCTGTGGAACACTTGTTTGTTTGTTTG